CCCGTCCCCGTCTCCATCCCTGTCGACGTCGTCGTCGTCTCCGCCGTCGTCGTCGCCGTCGTCGTCGTCGTCGTTGTCTTCGTGGTCGTAGCCGCCGTTGACGTGCACTGCTATCCCGATCCTCCACCTCGCGCCCCACCCCCCATCCCTCCCCCCCCAAGCCACTGTCGCACACCCAATCCCCAACCCCCCGTCGGAGACTGCCGATGCCAGCCGCCCCCCCCCTCCCCTGGCCCAGGAACTTGAGCTTCAACACTGCCATCCCCCGCCCTTTCCCCCCGGCGGCACGCGCCCATCCGCCCCCCCGAACCCAAGGGGGGGGGGGGGGGGGGAGCGATTATTATGGCATCCCGAGTGTGCATATGAATACGTATATATATATATAATATATATATATATATACATATTCCACTTCCTATGTTTTTACAAACCCGGGCGGGGAAAACCCGTACCCCCCCCCAAAACCGGACTCCCGGGATCTGGGGCTTGGGACCCTTCGGACGGGCCTCGAAGCGGCCCCCCGGGCCTCGCAGGGCGTTTTGCCAAGCCTTCGCAGCACACCTAGGGCGATCAGGGGGGTCATCGGAGACGTCCCAGAGAACCCCAAGACAGCACAAGAGCGCTCCAAGAAGCCGTCATACCCCGAAAGATCGCTCCAAAACGTACCAAGAGGCCTCCAAGAGCACCCCCAAGAAGGCCCCAAGAGGGAAAATCATTGATTTAATGTAGGTTTTTGGTGAATTTGGGGTTCTCCTCTTTTCGGCTTCCCGACGCTCCAAGACAGCGGTCTTCTGGGCGTCCGAAGTCGCCTGGGAGGCTCCAAAATCGCCCCACAACCATCCGAAAGGGCTTCCAGGCAGTCCAAGAGAGCCCCAAAACGGCACAACAGGGGTCCAAAATGGCCCTAAGAGAGCCCCATGGCGGCCCAAGATGGCCCCAAGACACCCTCCGAAGCATTCCAAATCGTGACCGGGGCGTTCAGGGAGACCGCGGTTAGAGGCAGGTTGGCCTTAGGAAGCCCCAGAGGCCCCCAGAACACGCCCAGGAGGCCTCCAGAAGGCTTTAAGAAAGCCTGAGAACTTTGGTGAGGCCCCCAGAGGCTCTCCAAGGAGGAGCCTCCGCAAAAAGAGCTGAGGAGGATGGGGAGAATGCCCAGGGTATGGCGAGAATGAGGAAAAAAGCATGGAGGAAGGATAACGAACAACATTATTATAACGGCGATGCCAGAAAAGGCAGCAAGGAGTTATCGCTAAATTGTCCGCTTGACCTTCCTGCCATTTCCGCCTGCATACCAATCTTCAAGGACCAAGGTGCATGGCGCGAAGCGCCACTGCAGTCTTGTATATATGTATATATAAAGGGCTGCCAACGGCAGTGCATCTTGCAGGTGCGCCTTCCGCATGCGTCACAGCCCGTGTTGCCCGCTTGGGTGTGGGCGTCTGTGGTGAGCTGGGCCAGTGTTGAGTTGCTTCCGTCGTGGCCCTCATTGTTGCCATTGTGGTTTCGTCAACTACGTGTTCCTGTGGTGCTGCGGTTCTTTGGGTTGCCGTGGTCGCCGGGATCCCCGTCGTCTCCACTGGTGGGGCCCCTCTTCCCATTTTCGGTCCTCGTGGGTGTGCCTGCCCATATCTGGCCGTGGTGACCATTCAGCAGCTGGAGAGCAAGGTTAAGGGCGTCCTTCGCGTCGCATGCTGCTTGCGACACCAAGCAGGTCAAGCGTGCCGTTTCTGCAGCGGTGACAGAGAAAGCTCAAGGCCAAGGCAAATGCAAGGTCGGCGATTCAGAGGAGAGGTGGTCACAATTACAACCGAAAGCGCGGCCGCCCAGGCGAGCTGGTGCCCAGGCTCTTGTCGGCTGGCCCTTGGTCTGGTTGGCCGACCTGGAGCCTGAAATAGAATGCGCTTCGCTTAGGTGATCTGCATTCAGTGTTCTTGCCGCGCTTCTGGACATTTGGTCGATGCTCGAACTATGTATGGCGTGGACAACGCACAGCCCACTAGTGTGCCGTCTAGTGGCCTACGAGTCGTTTCGCCACCGTGCCCTCGGTGGGGTGCTTCGACACATCTCGGGGGCCTCTTTCCAGACCTCCCAAATGCGCTCTCAGCACACCGGGGCGGAGGATCGCACCGCAGCACCGATGCATCCGCGACGCGGCTCGATGTGGAGCCTGATGTTCTC